GGAAAATGGCTGGGGGAAGGGGTGGATGAGGGAAGTTGCCTCCTTGCAGGCTTGACACCCACACGTAGCGCTGCAGCTGCCTTGCATGGTCAAGAAAGCGGCTTGCTTGCTGATGCTACAGATTCGGGCGCTTGAGCAGATTGGGATGCACTGGTGGCAGCGACTTGAGGTTTTAGGCATTGATGCATGTATGTTGCTCCTTGGGCATTTGTCGGAGTCCCACTAAAAATGGACGACTGCAATAATAACCCTTAGCAACAAGTGCGGGCTGCGCCAGGGGGATGTGAGGGTCCAAGGAGTGGAGGAGAAGTTGGAGTGGCCAGCTACTCAACCTTGGCGATGCCTCAAAATTCGACATGTTGAACAACACGGGTGGTGGAATCCACTCTCTTTGAACATTCCTGGAAGTGCTCACGCTTTATTGTGCAGGGTACACCAGCAGCGTTCAAAACTGAAAGGTTGGATGTGAAGCTTGCAATCTTTTGGTGCCCAGGAAAGCGGATCCTGCCATTCACGGTGCCTTCGAGAGGCCGCAACACAAGCCGCGAGACACTGGGCTTTTACAGATTTGGATGTTTCCAAACAGAATTTGCCCAAGCTTTTGGTTGGCTCGAAGGCGATACCAAAAGGAAACGTCCTGTTTTGGACTCCCCTCAGTTTGAGACAAGCCGATTTGCCCCACCCTAAACTATTGCGGATGCCTTTGGCGGGCCGAGACGCATCCGCCTGCGTCTGGGGGGTTGCCAGGTATTTCCGGCCCGACCTGCCGGGCAAGTTCCTCCATCGGGGCGAGGCACGCCTTCAGATGGATTGAAGATCGCGGCGCATGTCACCGGAAGCGCAGAGCTCTAAGACATGTCCCACCCGACTCAATGGTCACATGTCCCTTTGGAACAACAAATCAAATCCGTGGCTCTAATGAGTCACCATGGACTACTTCAAGCAATTGAATGTCAGTGATTTCAGGCTCAGCTCCTGCTTCAATGATGTTGGCAATAGTCAAGAGAGCATCGAGCTTTTTGGTGGTTTGGTGGTTGGCTTTCCATTTCACCCACCAAAGCTTCGTCACTTTTAGCAGATCTGAAAACGGACAGCCCACAGGGGATGGACACCACGAATTCCCAAGATGTGTGCCAGGAGTGGCTCTGCCAAGCTGAAGGCAGGGCACTTTTTGCGGCATATTATTACAACCAACCCGAAAAGAAATCCCAAAGGAGGGCGGGGAGGGCGGTAACACTTTAAATGGTGGTTAAGTTGGAGCTTTTCCGCCATTTTTTGGTGGGAGCCGGATTCTGATGTAAGAGTCCTCGAACGAACCATATGCAAAACGACAGAGGCGGTCATCAGACCATTTGCTCGGTGAGTTGCAATAGCTTCTGGAGCCAGCTGCGCTCAACGAGCTTTGCACATGGATTAGCTTCGCTTTGTGCCAACCAGGGAAGCTTCCGTGGAAGTCCGCTTGGCTCCATTTGGCTGTGGGTCAAAACCAATGGGATCCCATTTCGGGGTAGCTGCACCCTCACTTGGGACGAAAGACTTATTGCCCACTTCCGCAGTTTTTGTTTGTCTCTTGCGGGGTCAGGCCGGGGCACCCGGAAGCGGGCTGCCGCCCACGCGGTGCTGGTGCGGGGTACCGGGCTCTTCCGCGTGAATGGAGAGCAGGACGGGCAACTGACAGCAATGCTACCATAGTCAGTCAGTTAGTTAGCTCGCTAGCTACTTGCTCAGTGACTCAGTCACTTAGTCTGTTGGTTCGTTAGTTTGTGAGCTGGTCAGTTGGTTGGTTACCAACTGAGTTAGTAAGTTGGGTTGTCATTCAGTGAGCGAGCGAGCGAGTGAGAGTGAGAAAGAGTGAGTGAAAGTGCGTGCGTGCGAGGAAGGGAGCGAGGGAGGGAGCGAGGGGAGGGAGGGAGGGAGGGAGGGAGTGAGGGAGTGAGGGAGTGAGGAAGTGAGGGAGTGATGGAGTGAGGCAGTGAGGCAGTGAGGGAAAAAAAGTGAGTGGAAAGAGTGGAGGGAGTGGAGGGAGTGGAGGGAGTGGAGGGAGTGGAGGGCGTGGAGGGAGTGGAGGGAGTGGAGGGAGTGGAGGGAGTGGAGGGAGTGGAGGGAGTGGAGGGAGTGGAGGGAGTGGAGGGAGTGGAGGGAGTGGAGGGAGTGGAGGGAGTGGAGGGAGTGGCGGGAGTGGAGGGAGTGGAGGGAGTGGAAAGAGTGGAAAGAGTGGAAAGAGTGGAAAGAGTGGAGGGGAGTGGAGCGGGTGGAGGGAGTGGAGGGAGTGGAGTTGAGTGGAGTGAGTTGAGTTGAGTTGAGCTGAGCTGAGCTGAGTTGATCTGAGTTGATCTGAGTTGAGTTGAGTGAGCGGAGTGAGCGGAGTGAGGGGAGTGGAGTGGAGTGGAGCGGAGCGGAGCGGAGCGGAGCGAACGAGTGAGTCAGTGAGTCAGTGAGTGAGTGCTAGCGGTGTGCGGCGTGCGGGGCAGAGAGGGGGTTCGAGCGAGAGATAGTGAAGTAAAGAGTGATGAGTGAATGAGAGAGAGCGGGAGAGAGAGAAGGGAGAGAGAGAGAGAGAGAGAGTGAGAAAGAGTGAGAGAGACAGCGACAGCGTGAGAGAGAGTGAGAGAGAGGGAGATAGTGAGGGAGAGATAGTGAGAGAGTGAGAGAGTGAGAGAGGGTGGAAGAGAGAGAGAGAGAGAGAGAGACAGTGAGAGTGAGTGAGTGAGTGAGCGAGCGAGCGCAAGCGCGAGAGCGCGAGAGCACGTGCGGGGCGTGCGGTAAGTAATTGTCAGTGAGTTAGCGAGTTGGGGAGTTGGTGAGTGGGAGAGGTCGGTGAGTCCGTGAGTCTGTGAGTCCGTCATTTCATTTGCACGTCCGTGCGTCAAGCCCGCCTGGTGTTTGAGCTTTGCAGGACATGTACTCTCGCTGGCCTCAGATCTACAACCGCCAGGGCCCAAAGCTGGCTACAACCATCCCCGTTATCTTAAGTTGGAGCGCGGCAATTAGCTACTTACTCATTTGAAGATCCAAGCAGATCAGCTTTCTGGTGTATCCCGCCAAGCACCAGCATTGCTCTGCAAAGTGCGCGCGAGACTATACGAGTTTTTGGCCTTGGCCTAGGCATGCTTTGGGGCAAAAACCTGGCACTGGGAAGTGAAGAGAGATGAAACCTGATACCCAAAGAAAAAAACTCCTTGGTTCATTGGCACCTGCCAGGCATAGACGTGTGTCAGCCCTTCAAGCTGACTGGCCTGGCCCCGAGGCCAATGGCTTCACTGGGCGGAGCCAATTAAAGCGAAACCCCGTGGACGAATTCTGACTTTCCCATGCTACGGAAACTGCAGAAAAGGCATGAGAAAAGGCATGGTGTCCAACAACCGCTAAGCGATGACGAGGGAATCCTCTTTGTGATCAAGTAGTCTGGAACAAGGGGCATCCATTTTCAACCTAGTTTTGTCTCACATCGATCTGAGGCACTGCAGGGCAATACGATGTCTTCGTGTCAGTGCGCGGCGGCGGATTGAGTGGCCAGGCCGGAGAGAAGGATTTTTGTTCTGGGCTGTCGGGACTATTGGCTATGAGTCAGAAGGTGTTCCCTCAAAGATGCTTGGCTTGACTGCTATTGGCTTGGATTTTTAGACTTTAACTTGTTGTGACTTTTTGCAGAGGGGTCAACAGCAACCAAGGAAACGATGTCCACCAAAAAGGTCAGTCCACATACAGGTGTCCGTCGAGGCGATTTTCTGCAGAGTCTGAGATAATTTAGTCTTCGTGTGGATTCCAGGTGGATCCTCTCCGCTTCTTGAACCATCTCAAAGTCCAGCGATTCCAGCAGTCACTATTTCCAAACCACTGTTGGTTTAACGGGATAAACAGTTACTGTGTTGCCTGTCGGGTAGTGAGAATCAATTAAAATGTTACACATTTTGCTTGAGTTTGCAGTCAGAATCAGCATCCATGCGTGCAGGCGGGAGCTGCCCGGCTAGCCATAGCACGCGCTCTCTTCCAGGTGGGGGCGATTAACCGGCTGTTCCATTTCCTATGCTTCGATTGACCGACCACTCGGTTCGGCCAGTGCAACCGGGGAGCCGAATCCGATTCAGGCGAATCCGAGCTGCCACGATCGGCTTCAGCAGGGCTTCTGTCTGCTGGAGGTGGGAGAAATTCCGGGTGTGGTGAATCATTTCTTCGCCCGCACAAAAGGAGCCAGGAAAGATACCCTTCAGTGGGGTGTAGAGTACACTAGCGGTACATCTCAATCTACCTTGGTAGTGGTTTGGGGGTGGAAACCATCTAAAAAGAATCTCGTCTCTGGATTCATCCAAGGACGACGGATTTGAACGGGCGGTTTCCCTTGAAAAAGCAAACCCGAAAACGAATCGATTTCATCAAGGGGAACCGCCGCCTGGCATCCTCCGACAGATTGCATGGAACGCTGGACTTGGCTCAAGACTTGGAAGCCAACTTGGAGCTTTCCGCAAGCAAGACATAGCAGAAATCAACGACTTAAACCTGCCATGCAATTTGCAGCCCAATCAGCCCAAACAGCACACATCAACCACAGCCAGTGCAGCATAGGCCGTGGATTCACGCTCTGTCGCTGTCGCCTCCCAGAGGACATGTCAAGTTTCATGCTGCGAGGGTTTTGAAGGGGGACTCAAAGCCTTTTTGGGGCTGGAGAATTGAGGGATTCTGGACTGGACATTTGAGGGGCAGGGCCACTCTCACGCTTAAGACCTGGAGTGCGGGATTGGTTCTTCAACCCCATTGCAGGACCAAGACTGCGACGTGCTGTAGATTAATGCATCCTACCTGCAACGATCTAGATTTATCCTTGAGCCTGCATTCGCTCGCTTGGTATCACATGAATGCCTTGTGAGGCCTAAACCAACCCGAAACCAACCCTAAAGCAAGCCCTAAAGCAGCCCTAAACCAGCGGGCAGTGGCAAGTCGTTCTGAGGCAAGCATCATAACTTTTCTGGCTGTGCTTGACGCCCTAGAGTGCATCGCCGCCTATGTTGCCTCCGAGCTGGACGGAGCACAAAGACCCAAGCAGTGGCAAGACCTTCTTCTACAATACCACCACCAAGGCGCGAAGCGGAACAGGGCCGGCAGAATGCTAGACTTGCAAGGCTCTGAAATGCAAGTTTGCACGATCTTTGAGTTGGAAGATGCGGGATGTCTGGTCTTGGCCCGTGTTGAGCTTTGCGTTTTGGAGATTCCGCTTTCAGCCAATGAGCATTTGCAGGAGACTACATGGACAAGGCCAGCTAGTACACCTGGCACGCCGGCCCCGCCAGCACCACTGGGAAGCCCTGGCACCCCCAAGGCTCCAACCATTGGCCTGGGTCGGCCCATGGCACCCCTGGCACCGTCCGTCCCTGGTGGGGCACCCAGGATCCCATCCAGCCCCACCCCGCCGATGCCAGGAAGGCCAACCATCTCCACGTCCTCCCCAGCTCCGCTGGCCCCGGCGCCGCCCGGGTCGCGGCCCACCGTGTCCATCGCGTCCCCCAGCCCGGCGGCGCCCGGAGCGCCCAAGGCGCCCTTGGCGCCCTGCGCACCGCTGGCGCCCAAGCCCTCAGTGCCCGGCATGCCCGGCGCACCACCAGCCCCCTTGGCACCCACAGGTGATTGGACTGAGCACAAAGACCCAGTCACCGGCAAGACCTACTACTACAACAAAGTCACCAAAGAAACAACATGGGATAAGCCTGCACCAAAGCTGGCATCGACGGCACCCCTCGCGCCCGGAGCTCCTAGAGCACCATCTGCTCCAGGTGCCCCACTGGCGCCTATGGCTCCAAAGGATGACTGGACGGAGCACAAGGACCCGGTAACTGGCAAGACCTACTACTACAACAAGCTGACCAAGGAAACAACTTGGGACAAGCCTGCACCAAAGCTGGCATCGACGGCCCCCCTCGCACCCGGAGCTCCTAGAGCACCATCTGCTCCAGGTGCCCCACTGGCGCCTATGGCACCCAAAGACGACTGGACTGAGCACAAGGACCCAGTCACCGGCAAGACCTACTACTACAACAAGCTGACCAAGGAAACAACATGGGACAAGCCTGCACCAAAACTGGCAGCAACAGCACCACTGGCACCAGGCCTCCCCAGGGCGCCATCTGCACCTGGCGCACCACCCGCCCCCTTGGCACCCACAGGTGATTGGACTGAGCACAAAGACCCAGTCACGGGCAAAACCTACTACTACAACAAGCTGACCAAGGAAACAACATGGGACAAGCCAGCGGCCTTGTCTGCACCAAAACCTGGCCTGCCAGCACCGGCACTGCCAGGAGGCTTGCCCCCCAACTGGGAGGAACACAAGGACCCAACAACAGGCAAGGCGTTTTTCTACAACAAAGTGACCAAGGAGACAAGCTGGGACAGGCCAAAGGGTTTATCCCCCGCGGCTCCTATGGCACCTCTCGCTCCTGGTGGCTTGCCGCCGGACTGGGAAGAGCACAAGGATCCCTCGAGTGGTAAGACCTTCTACTACAACAAGCTGACTAAGGAGACCAGCTGGGAGAAACCAGCTCCAAAGCCAGCACTGAAGCCGGCCTTGCCGGGATCATCACCCCTCGGAGCGTTGCCTCCCAACTGGGAAGAGCACAAGGACCCGTCGAGTGGTAAGACATTTTACTACAACAAGGTCACCAAGGAAACAAGTTGGGACAAACCCAAGGGCGCTGCTGCACCAGAGGCACCAGGAGGTCTTCCACCAAACTGGGAAGAGCACAAAGACCCATCCAGTGGGAAAGCATTCTACTATAACAAGGTGACCAAGGAGACCTCCTGGGAAAAACCAAAGGGTGCTTCAGTGTCAGCAGATGCCGGTGGTCTGCCACCCAACTGGGAGGAGCATAAAGACCCGTCTAGCGGCAAGACATTTTTCTACAACAAGGTGACTAAGGAGACGAGCTGGGACAAGCCAAAGGGTTTTGCAGCGCCCGCTGCCCCTGGTGGTGGCTTGCCGCCAGACTGGGAAGAGCACAAGGACCCGTCGAGTGGCAAGATCTTCTACTACAACAAGCTGACCAAGGAGACAAGTTGGGACAAGCCAGCTCCAAAGCCGGCATTGGCCCCTGCATTGAAGCCAGCCTTGTCCGGTTCTCCCTCACTAGGAGGTCTTCCACCGAACTGGGAAGAGCACAAAGACCCATCCAGCGGGAAAGCATTCTACTATAACAAGGTGACCAAAGAGACCTCCTGGGAGAAGCCAAAGGGAGCTTCAGTGTCAGCACCAGCAGATGCAGGTGGCCTGCCACCCAATTGGGAGGAGCACAAAGACCCGTCAAGCGGCAAGACATTTTACTACAACAAGGTGACTAAGGAGACGAGCTGGGACAAGCCAAAGGGTTTAGCAGCGCCCGCTGCCCCCGGTGGTGGCTTGCCGCCAGACTGGGAAGAGCACAAAGACCCGTCGAGTGGTAAGACCTTCTACTACAACAAGCTGACCAAGGAGACAAGTTGGGAGAAGCCAACTCCAAAGCCCGCACTTGGTTCAGCACTGAGGCCAGCCTTGTCGTCATCTTCATCGACATTGGGCGGCCTGCCACCAAACTGGGAAGAGCACAAAGACCCATCCAGCGGGAAAGCATTCTACTATAACAAGGTGACCAAGGAGACCTCCTGGGAAAAACCAAAGGGTGCTTCAGTGTCAGCAGATGCCGGTGGCCTGCCACCCAACTGGGAGGAGCATAAAGACCCGTCTAGCGGCAAGACATTTTTCTACAACAAGGTGACTAAGGAGACGAGCTGGGACAAGCCAAAGAGCTTAGCAGCGCCCGCTGCCCCTGGTGGTGGCTTGCCGCCCGAGTGGGAAGAGCACAAGGACCCGTCGAGCGGTAAGACCTTCTACTACAACAAGGTGACTAAGGACTGGGACATCTTGTTGAGAGCAGTGCTGACTCTGTTTCGGAGTTGATGTTTGTTATGCTGAATGGGGGGGGGTGCAAAGGAGGATAGGTGACTAGATTGAACCGGATCAAGTGTTGCCTTATCAAGATTCCAGGCTCAAGATGGTCGCACGGTCACACTTCTGTCAGCAAATCCTCAACGGCTTCGGATCGCACGCGGGTTCCATCTCTGAGCTCAAGTTCCAAGTTGTTCGTTTGGAATCCGCGAAGAGAGCTATGTACAAGTTTCATGTCCACATTTGGCGGCGTTTAGGGTGCCACGCTTTTGGTGCCAAATGTTTTGGCCAGGAGACATCTTGGACGAAGCCGGCCGCTGCACCTGGGCACTTGATACCATCCGGATACGTCGCACATGGCTGCGGGTTGGGTTTACCTTCAAAACAAATCCGCAATGGTGGCCAATTCAACCCCCCTTGCTTTGTTTCTTTTCTGGAGATTCCTGGAGTATGTCCCTAAATTGGGGTGGTCGGTTCTGTAAAGCGTCGTGATTTACAGGGTTTAGGCAAACATCCGAGTTACCGCATACCCTTTGTACTCTGCGCCCTTTTAATTCATCTTGCCCACATCAACAAGGCCGCTTCTTGCCGCGAGTGCGATCTCAGGCAAGCAATGATTGGACCGAGCATAGTGATCCTTCCACAGGGCACCTTGGCTATCCGGAACACACTTGCAGATGCAAAGTGGCCACGAGAGGCAAGCCAAGATATCATTTGGACATGAACCATAACTTCTGCACCTTCATTGCTTGATGTGAAGCCACGGTGGAGGCTGTAGAGGCAACCATCTTGCTATGTCGGCGCGCCGCTCTGCATGCTTTTCCCCACCCCGTCACATGAATCGTTGATTCCGCTCCATTGTACTGCTAACGTCTTGGGAATGATATGGATTCAGAGTAAGTTGAATACTCACGCTTCTTGCCGTGGTGCTTGGGAAAACAATGGCAGGACAAGCACGTTTCTAACGTATCCCATGCTTCTAGCTTGATCACGCAAGGATCAAACTAGCACCGCCACTTCGGTCATGCTTTCGCTGATAGAGGTGAGAGAATTAGTTTTCCTTAGTCATGTACATGTAAGGGACAGGCTGGATCTCAGCCAAGTGCAGGTATTGAAGCACGACAGGCTTTTGACATTGCCGGGCTTCCCAGGAAGACGTTTTACTACAACACGGTGACAAAGGAGACACGCCACATGGCCGCAAAGCGCTCGAAGTTGAGAGCTTCTGACCAAAAGGCACAGGAGCCACCGGTACACGAAGCCCCGCGTGACTCCGTTCGAAGAATCCTTTGGCTGTGTATATGTGTGCGCCTGCCTGCTTGCATCCTCCGTTCGTGAAGCGTCACACCGTTAGCAGTATGGTTGCAGGACCTTCCAAGACCTGTTACTTGGTGCAGAAAATGGCCCAGGAGACTGGTACAGATGGACCCTTGAATGGTGCTGGGTTGCTCTTATTGGATGATCCAGGCCATAGATGCGCAATTTCCCTTCATGTTCTTTCATTTTCATTTCCCCTTCATAGCTATTTATTTTCCGTAATCCCCTTTCATTCCCTTCTTTTTTTGTCCCTTCATTTTCCCATCCAACTCCTCTATTTCTCCTGTCATTTCCGCTTTTCCTTCATGTTCCTCTCAATGTTCCCTCATTTTCGCCAACAATGCCCGTTCGGCATTTGTTCGAAGATGAGAACTTGGGCTTTCGCAGCAGCTGTCGGGGCTCTGGGTTCACTTCCATGGCTTGGGGTTCTTGGGATGGGCATGTCCCATATGAGCTCAGGCTGGGACAAGCCATGATGTGACCTGGCATCAGAGGAGCGGAGGTGACCTGCCAAGCATAGAACATGCTGCAGTCAATGTTCTTTTCTTCGTGCGACCATCCAATTTATATCACCTAGAAGTTGCGCCCTCGAGAGGCAATACAGCAATGGAGAGCAAGGGTAGTTCAACTGGGCTGGAAGGCGTGCATGCAGCATGTTGCTTGGCTCAGGTACAAGATGAAGTGCTTAGAGTACATGAAAGGTTCAGGGTGTAAACATCAGAGATGTCGTCCTTAGGTCCAAAGCTTGAGGCCCGAGTTGCGGGTTCCTATGTCCTCTTTGCAGCCCCACCAGAAAGAAACTCATCTTCTGGTGGGTGACGTTTCAACCACCCAAGTGAAATGGCTAAATCCGCAACAGGGTTGGGCGATTTGAGCGGTATGTCTGGCTGTTCTCTTGGGGCCTCTTCGGGGATTCTGAATGGGAATCTCACAATTGGGGCAACGACTTGCTGGTGCGATAGGCAGGGAATGACCAAGACCGGGTGTTGGGAATGAACCGCTAGGGGGATTCCCGAAAAAAGAAACCAAATCGGGGATTGGTTTTTCGTGGGCTGATTCCATTGCCCATTGCTCATTTGCCTATCGAAGCCTCAAGGACCTGGCGAATGCAAAGGCGCGAGTGCGGTGCCGGCGATGTGGGGACGGCGATGCGATGCAAAACAGGAACCCAAGGGGGGTGTTCCCAAATTTGAGGGTGTGTCTTTCTCAGATAAAGCCAAGTGAAGAAGGATGAAGAGAGTAGCAAAGGTGGTGAGTAGCAAACCCAATTAGTGGTAGAGTATAACCTTCATGGCTCGCTCCCTGGCCAGCCTAGTGGGTATATAACTGGCTTTTCCTTTTTCTTTGGGGGGGAAGCAACGTCAAGCCCCTTTTGCCAGTTGTTTGAAGGATTTCCTTGCCTCGCAGATCTTTTTCCGGTGTATCCTTCAAGGAAGCCTGTTAGACAGGGTCACTTGTCCAAGGGCTTAAACATTGTATCTGACAATCAGAATCCAGCAGCATGCCCCCAACCCCTCCCACTATTTTGGGCTTATATAAATATATGAATTATATATATATATATATGAAACTGGTCCTCGCCTGCAAGGCTAATGAGCTGAGTGGCTGAGTCTGGCGCTGCGGAGGAAGGAGCGCCGGAGACCGGTACTCGGGGTTGGTATGGTCTTCACCCAAAGCATTTTGGTCAAAATGTCGGGTTCCTATCAAGGATGCCATCAGGCGTTCTTACCATGGCACATGTGAGGTTTGGTCATACAGGAAGGTCTTTCGTCACTTTCGGGGCTCGGGATATGGGCGAGCTCGAAGCGTCCACAGCCAGGGACTCCGTCATTTTCTCACGTCCGTTAGAGTGATTGCATATTTTGATTGTGGCTCATGTGAGGTCCATTCAAACTCTTGAAAGGTAATGGTGGTGTGGGATATTGTCCACAACCTCATGCGTTTTTTGGGCGGGCTACTATCTTTTTTTAGGTGTCTTGGCAGAGAGGTTTTGTATGGATCGAGGTGCGGTCAACACATCAGGAAGGTTTATTGTCAGTCAGAGCGGGGGGACGAGCCACCGTGATTCAACCACGAAAAACCAGGGGGACTTGTTTTTTGCGTGTTTGGCGCCGCATGTTTTGACGCATACAGGTGGTGTTCCTCAAATGAGGCTAATTAGAACCCCAGATTTAAACATGGTCCCAACCCAGTTCCTTTTGATTTCTCTTTTGCCAACCCAAAGAGGGGAAAAGAGAAGGATGGGGCCCGAAAGCAGTACGTCAACTTCCGCGCTTCTTGGTGAATTATTTTGTGCAGTTTCTCTTGTGCAATCTCTCTGCTCAAATGCTCTGGGCACGATCTCTCGTGCAATTTGTCTTGTGTAAATTCTCCCGTCCAACTTGTGTTTCTCTTGTGCAATTTCTCTTGTGCCACTTCTCTGTGCAAGCATTTCGGCATTTTTTCCGGAAGAAGCCTTCGCAATGCTTTTGAGGTAAAGAAGATCGTGCGTTTGTTTTTGCAGAGCAAGTTCCCTATGCAAGCTTGTCTGGGCAAGTGCCTCTGCTCACTTTTTTTTGGCGCATGTTTCTCTGCGCAAGCGAGCTCTTTGTGCCGGTTCCCCTGCGCAAATTCTCTGTGCAAGTTTAAGTTTTCTCTGCCACAAGCGGTGTATTACAACTTGCAAATCTTTCAGCGGAGCTGCACAAAAAGACCTGCACGTGCACGATCCTCGCAGACGATGGAGGGGGGCACCTGAACTAGTTGCATTTCCAGGGAGGTTTTGCGCATCACCCGGGATTCCTGCAGATGGTGTCACGTTAGAAGAGGGGGGTCCGGGTCCCACTGCGCGGCCTAAAACCGACCAATTCAATCTCTTGCAAAAAGTCTTCGTACAAGTTTGCTTGTTCAAGATCCCTCTTGTACGTGCTGGGGTCATTACGTTGACTGTTTTTGGGGGGTTATCAAAGTCAGAAACTGGGGGTGTTTCCCGCTACCATTTGGGGGTGACCTTGACAGTTGCAAAATAATGGGGCCAGAAGTGTGCTTGCACATTTTGTCGTTTATGTTGGTGCCAGTTCTCTAGTGCAAGTTCTTTGCAGAAGGTCTCTGGGGCAGGTTCGCCCACGCACGTTCCATTGTGCAAGCTTGGGGTGCGAGTTTTGCAGTTTAAGCTCTTTGTTACAAGTTTCCGACAAATGTTCTGTGTGCCAGTTTTCCTGTGCAATCTCTTGGGCAAGTTCTTTGGAGCAAATTCTGCTGTGCAACTTTGGTGTCAGTTCTCTCGTCACTTTACCGCAAGGGCCCTTCGCAGGGCTTTCGGGAAACTCGAAAAGACGGCCATGCCAGGGTCAGAAACCTTGGGTTCCTGAGGGATGGCTACGGACTGCCGTTTTGGAGTTTTTGGGCATGGAACAAATGAGCAGAGTTTGTTTGCTAAGTATTCGCTGAGTATTCCGGGAGAACTCCTTGTATTTTGTGTAGGCACCGCGTAGGCAATTCTGGTGGGGGGAGCGATTCACATAGGCAGTCCGCGTAGACTGTTCAAGAAAGTTCCGCGTAGGCAGGTTCGCGTAGGCGTCTTTTACCTCACGCAAGCTTGTTGACACGACTGGAGAGTAGCGCCCGGGAAAAGTCTGCGTAGGCACTCCGCGTAGGCGCTTGTTGCCGCATAGGCTCGCGTAGGCACCCTTCCACGGTTTTGCACACCGGAGGCTCCGCGTAGGCATGGGTGCCAGTGTATTCGGCCGGTACATCGAACAAATCTGCTCAAATCATTCAAGCATTATTATCGCCCAACTAAACAGCCCGAGCACATGACGCTGATCAGAGGGGCGAGAGTCTAAGGTCTTACTACCCCAACAGGACATAGCCCCACATGGACATAGCTCAAGAAATTGCTATACAGGGGTACAGGGACCGTCCCATTGAACTTGGACATCCCAAACAAGCAGCCTTTTTATCTGGCTTAATTACAGGCGGTTGGTGTGAAAAAGGGTAGGCCTTTCCATTTGCCAGGACCAACTTGTGCGCATGTCGCACCGCCCGCGCTCTGCGCACCCGACTGTCAGCGAAAAGAGACAGCAGTCCGAGTGGAGATGAAAGTCAGGGGAATTCCGCCCCAACTGGAAATGGGCGCGCGTGGATTTCCGTTTGGCTTCCCTTTGCACCAACCAAAAAAACGAGTTCTTTACCATGGACGCCGTACTCGGGTTCTTCCCTTTCTTGGGGGAAGACCAGATATGTGGAACTGAGGAGCCTTGACCTTGCGTACAGGGCGGAGGTGGGCCCAAACAAAAGTTCGGGGTCGGGAACAAAAACAATCATCTTCTGTGGAGTGTGGAGAAAGTCTGATTCAAATTAGTTGTGGATGGCTGCTATCCTTAGATGGCGATGCGCTTGTTTTACTCAGGGAGATAGGAATGTTTTGATTTGTCACAGCACCAAAGCCGCCAACGCAGCTGCGTTGGTCAGATGCCAGATAGATGTCAAACGCACAACGGTTTGGAGAGCTAGAAGGCACACACACACACACAAACTCTGGCTCGCACAAGGCCCCTCGCATGCTGAATGACTGGAGTCCAAAGCAGTAACTGGTGAGCAGACGATACTGAGCCGGCAAACACATCGCCGTCACAGTGCGGCCAATCTCGTCGCGACTGTCGCCCCATGCCCAAAGACTGGCTTGGGGAATGGGAGGAGCACACGGACCCGGGCAGTGGCAAGACGTTTTACTACAACCCCGGGACCCAAGAGAGTAGCTGGAGCAAGCCGGCGTCGCAAGCTCCGCTGCCGCCGCCGCCAAGACAGAAGTGGGAGGAGCACGTAGATCGCGCTAGCGGCAGCTTGGTTGATTTGTTCTTTCCCCCCGAAAGCTGAGTCCGAACGGGACGGAAGTTCTCCAGCCAAAAAGTCCGCAGCAATCCGCGGATCGAATGACCCACCAAGAGTCACTAGGTTGGAGGTGTACTAACTCTGGTTATTCTCGGTGTGCGCGTCTACCAGTTACCAGGGTCTGAAGACACGTCGGAAAGTTGCCCAAAGTTCCCCAAAACCAACACCTTTGAACGTTCCCGGCTTTTGGACTGAGGCAAGGTCTTCTATTTCAACCCGGTCACCCAGGAAAGCACCTGGACAAAGCCCCCCGGATTTGGAGGGATCCCCCCTCCTGGACCTCCTGGACCTGGACCTCCTGGACCTCCTGGACCTCCGGGACCTCCGGGACCTCCAGGCGCGGGGTCGGATTTGAGGTGGGATTGAAAGGAAATCAACGCACCTTGCATTTTAGGGATGGCCCAAAGAATGGGGGCTTGACCACCCCCCTTTCAACGAAAAGGGGCTTGTCAAGCACAGGATGTATTGTTCCTTTCAAGGGTGGTTTGAACATCACCTTTTTGGCCAATTTACAGTGCGGTTCCTCAACTTCTATTGCTTGCGATGTTTTCTTCTGGTGGGCAGGGATGGTTGCAGATTGGATTGAATGCATATTCTTTCATGCAACTCGTGGCTGAGTGGCTGAGTGGCCCAGCAGCCACGCAGCATTAGCCACGCAGCGTCACTCAGCCACCCAGCCACCCAGCCACCCAGCCACCCAGCCACCCAGCCACCCAGCCACCCAGCCACTCAGCCACTCAGCCACCCAGACCCAGCCACCCAGCCACTCAGCCACCCACTCAGCCACCAACCACTCAGCCGCCCAGCTACTCAGCCACTCAGCTACTCAGAATCTTGAGGCCGGGGCCTCTTGCGTGGCTGAGCGGCTGAGCGGCACCTCATCCGCTCATTAATCAACTTTCTGTGAGCCGGTTGGATGGGGATCAACTAGGTATCACTGGGGCCTTTTCATTTTCCACACTCAGCCACTCCCTTTTTCTTCAAGGGTGACTTTTGTCACCAATTCATTTGGCAAGTTTCTATCTTCGGGCTGACATGGTGTTAGCTGCAATCTGGGGTATGTCTTTGCGGGGAGGAACCTCTTGGCTGCCCTGAGCCTCAAGAATCACACATGTAGTAGAAATCTGGTCCTTTTGTTTTCCCTTTGCCGGGCCAACTGTTTATCTCGTGAAAGGGACAATGGAGAACCCCTGGTCGCTGTTAGGTTGGCCCTCCCGAAAAACAACTGCACACAAACAGGTTGGTGAAACCAGCCACAGGGTTCCCTACATTTCCGCTTGGGCCATTTTACCACGTTTCCGTTGGTGTCCTTTTTAGGCTCCCTTTGAAGCCCGCCACGTTCCCTACATGTCCGCTTGGGCCATTTGCCGCGTGGCCCGTTTGGGGCTTGCCAGGCCCTCCAGGGCCTCCGGCCAAGTGGGAGGAGCATGTGGACTCCGGTAGCGGCAAGGTCTTCTACTTCAACCCTGCGACCCAGGAGAAGCCAAAACCAAAAAAACATGGGGGGGGGGGGGGGCGGTTGAGTAGTCAAAGAGTGAGGTGCCTCCAAACCCATGGATAAAAAGGGAAGAGGGCACGGTTTTGAGGTGGTCAAGGGGCCCCCAAAGCAAAACCCACCATACGGAACCCTAATTCTTGGGGCTCCGTATGACTCATATGGCAACACGGGTTTGGACCCGGGCCCTTCGTTAAACCAAGCTGAGAGCACCGAGCCTCAAAACTCCTGGCATGAAGACTTGTAGGGGCAGGCGACCATACTGTAGGTGTGGACATCATCCGTTTTCACTGAGATGGCTTTGGGTAAATATTTCCCGGTTGGGTTGTTCAAGCGTGTGGACCATTCTGAGACGAGTGTCCTTGTGGTGGGATGTTTAATCACTTCCCCCTGGGCCTTTTTTCACACCCCTTACTTGGCGATTTGGACTGGTGGCGTGGGGATTTGGACCTCTGGTTCTGGTAAAGGCTACATAGGAACCCAACCAACCCACCGATTCGGCTCCCAAACCAACTGGAAGGAAGTTCTGCCGCAGGAGAGCACGTGGACCAAGCCAGCGGCGCTGAAAGCCCGAGAGAAGGATCTGAAGTCCGGCTGGACCGAGCATCGCGACCCTGCGAGTGGGAAGATGTTGCCATGACTGAACCGTAGCGCCCGAAAGCCTTGGCCATTTTGGGCGGTTCCGCTTCTTCTGGTAGTAAGACTTCCGCCTGAACCATCTAAGAACCAAAGGTTGATGGATTTTGGCTACCCGTTTGCGCCATGGCCAAGGTTCTACTTCAACACCGACACCAAGGAGACCAGCTGGCAGAAGCCGGAGATGTCCGCGCCGGAATGGACGGAGCATATCGACCCCGAGTCGGGGCGCACCTTCTACTTCAACCCGTCAACCAAAGAGACCTCCTGGTCCAAACCGACACCGAAAGTTGAGGCAGATGATTGGGAAGAGCACGCTGACCCCAGCACCGGCAAGCGCTTCTATTTCAATCGCGCCACTTGCCAGATGGCTTGGGCTTAGCGCGAGAAGCCCTCGGGCTCCAAAGTGAAGGATTTGCGAACGATATACGTATGAATGGATTCCACAGGCTTCAACGTGGGCATATGTGCCATGCCAAAACAACCCTTTTCCTTGAGGTTAGGCAGGGTCATCAACCGCTGATGGCGCATCAGCTCGTGGAACAAGGGCTCCTAATTGAAACATGGGTCAAATTGAAACCTTCCATTTACCCGGGCGCTATTCTGCGTACCTACTTTGACCCACACCCATCTACGCAATGATGACCATGGGTTGGCAGTTCGGGAGTTTAGACCGCGGCACGCCTTCGAGATGTTCGCCGGCTTGTTGAGTCAAGTAAATTGTAGATGGGTGCCTTTGCAGGTGCAACGGTATTTGGTCTGCTTATTGCAGGTTCAAAGGTCTTGTGCAGAATATTTGTAAGTTTAAAGGTCTGTTTCAGGGTATTTGCAAGCTTAAAGGAGTTTGTTCAGGTTCGTTTTGCGAGTTCAAGTGTTTTTTTCAGGACGTCCTGCAACTTCAAAGGTACTTTCAGGTTATTGCAAGCTCAAAGGTAGTTTTTCAGGCTATTACAAGTGCAAATGTATGTTTCAGGACATTTGTGAGTTAAAGGTCTTGTTCAGGATATTTGTAGCAAGTTTGAGTGAGATGGTTTCATCTTTTTGTGAGTTCGGAGGTACTGTTCAAAGCTCTTCTTTTTGGTTTCAACGTCTCTTTCTCGGGATACTTGCAACTTCCAAAGTAGGTGTGTCAGCGTCTTTTGCAAGTTCAATGGTTTTATTGATACTGTCAGTGTTTTTTGCACGTTCAATGGTCTTTTTCCGGATTTGTGCCTCTATCTTTGGTTTCGTTGCCCCTTGTGCCCCGTTTTTGATACAGAGCCGCCAGGGCAGGGCCCTGATAGACGCAGTTCACATGGGAGTCTCCCATGGCTCTGAATCAGTATCCCCACCAGACATTTATTTTCTTGGTGTGATGCCTTTTTTTTTGTAAGGCCTCTAGACAACCTGAACCATTTTAGTAGCAGCTTCTAGTATGGCAACTGCAATTGTCTCAACCATTTTAATAGAACCAACGAGTCAACCCGGGGGAAACGGGCACTGAAGAACTTGAGAGACCCTTTCATAAGTGTGGTTGGGGAAATTTTGGTTTCCCTTCAAACTGCTAGGAGCCTCAAAACGCAATGAACATGTCATGCCCAAGGCAAACCATGGGTGGTTTTGGCAAATCTAGGGGTTGATTCTCCATTCTTTTTCAACCATCGTTCTTGCAAAAACCAGTTCTTTCCCAAGGGCTTTGGGTGATTATTTAGATAGAAGGATGCCTGGAAAGAATGGAAATGGAAGGTACCCCTAGAGCAAAGGCACGCCAGACTTGCTCAGTTTTGGGAAGCCCCAGGTAGTGAACACGTCATACCCAAGGCAAACCACGGGTGTTTTTGGCAAAGGCGCAGCAGATCAGGTGTTTAAAGCCCCAGGTGAAATTTTCTTGAGAACGGCCCCCCAGCTGCAGGTCACCCAGCAGAGCAGCTGGGATCCGCCAAAGTCGGGAGCGGCGGCAGCTGGGGCCTCGACGTTGCTGTTGATGGCCTTCGACTTCGACTGCACCATCGCCGCCATCCACGTCTTCGAGGAGGGTCGGGTCTCGAAGCTCCAAAAGGTGTCGTCCTTTTTTTCAGGGGTCCCCGATGTGTCTGGTGGGTTTTTCAATTGGAAGCCAAAAGGACGCCAACCGCTTTGGGGGTCTGAGAGAGTCCCCATATATGATTACTCGCCTGCAACGCCGGAAGGGAACCCGTTTCAAAGGTGGGGGGATGAGCTTTTTCCTTGCCGGCTCTGGTAATGATTTATCAAAATCCAGAGATGCCTGAAACTTCAGTGTTCCTTTTTGTATGAGCGGTTCTTTCTTTCTTTCTTTCTTTCTTTCTTGCTTTCTTTCTGGCTTCTGGACCCTAAACCCTAAATCGCAAACCCTAAACCCTAAGCCCTAAACCCTAAACCCGATCCGGCGCCTGGGTAGATGATCACCGGGGAAACCTCCGAACCCCACGATTGAGGAGCTGGCGCGGCGGGGCTGCTACGACGGGCCCTCGCAGAGGCATCGCCTGGAGCAGCAGTGCCGGGAGGACGAAAGAACTCCGGGCCCAGAAACAACTGAGCGGCTGTGCGGAAAAAGCAAAGAGTAGTATCCATGACCCTTACAAAATGGGTCCATGACCCAATTTTTCAGGGTCATGGAGACTCCAGGTAGGGTTCCCATCTGCACAAGAAAGGGTTCCAGCTGTGGCTGCCCTAGGTGTTTTTCTTCATTTTTTGGATCAAGGCATCAGCTTTTGGGGCCCATGAACAAGGGAGGTTCCTTGAAATGTCACGCTTGCACATAACTGACAAACGGCTTGGAGAGGAGGAGGGGAATGTGTTGATGCTACCTGTGGGAGTGGCGTTTGCACGGAAACCGAATTTGGCTTTGCTTCGGCGGTTGGTTAGTTGGTTGACCCCGCATTTGCCTGCTGTTTGGCGACACGCTCATTTTGTGGTCCTCTAGAGACCCCATGGCTCAGGAGCCCGGCTTTGTCACGCGGATCTACGGCGGACCTTCGAGGTTGCAAGACCTCACCAACTTCTTTCAGCGCCTCGGCAAATCCTGGTGCCACGGGTACCAATGTGCCAACTAGCCATGTGCGGTTGGTGTGGGGAACAGGAGCTGCGCTATTCAGCGTGCCATTCGGAGCGGAAGCCCTTCGGCGCCCTTGGCCTTTCTTCGGGGAAGTCCGCAAAATTGGGGGAAGGCCGGTGTTGGGCGTTGGTGTTGCCCTTGGACCAAACGGAGACCTTTCGAGCCGCGGGGACATTTTTCGGCCGAGTGCGCAACCAGGAGCTTGGCGCACCCGCAGCGGCGGGTCATTGTCATCACCACGGGCTTCGGGTCGGTGGTCGGGGCGGCGCTCGAGAAGGGCGGCCTGCGGAGATTCTTCGCAGAGGCCGGGCCCTTGGGTCGAAGGGTTCGGCGTCGAAAGGGACTTGATTTGCCCCATTGCAGGGGTGGAGTAGAGGTTTTGACGTCTTAAATCGCACACTCTGAGCGACTTTTAACAGCTGTGCGCGATGAAAACAACGAGGACCGCGTGTGTTTTTTAACCGTGGCTCTTGTATGCCAGGTCATTGGAAGGGAGCATCCGCTTTCAGAGGCGAAGCAGGGCCGGAAGGACACTGGATTTAGAGACGTGTCCGAAAACTCTTTCCAGCGAGTTCAGTCCCAAAGCTACATGGGAATGAGTTTCAATTGGGGAATCTGTGGAGATTTGCATGGGACGCCCAACCCATTTGAGGGTGTTCTCATTAACATAGGGAGTTGCTCTTGATGTTCTCCCCTTGGCGGCAGAACTGCGAAACAGCCTTTCCGCGATACCTGCTCAAATGCGCGGAGGGAAGCAGTGCACTGGCCACAAGGTGTACTGTTTTGCGGTTGGTTTCAAGGACTATCGACTATCTCTGGCACTTGGCGGTTCCCAGCCATCCGGTTCCTTCGGTTTGTAGATTTGGTTAGTGGTGGGTTCCATTCGCGCACAAGAGTTAAACAACTGTTAGGTCTGAAAACGGACAGCGAAGCTCCCCACGTGGCGTTCTCGTCAGGAGCGCATCATTGAGGAGCTGCGGCGAAGCCACGGCTACTCCGCGTGGCAGGCTGCAAGCCCCGTGCCGCAGAAATGCCTCGTGCCGTCCCTATGTTGGTACCTGGGGAGGGACGAAATCCACAAAACACACACTACCTCGTTTCAATCCACAGTGTTAATACTGGGACAGTGTTGATTCTGGTTTCAATCCACACGATCCCAAAACTTGGGATGGATGAAACCCTAAACAAAAAGATGGGATGAACAAATCAGCCACTAGTGACAGTCAGCTTTCTTGGGATTGGAAGCGTTCCTAAGGGAACCGTAGCTCAGGAATTTTGCCCAAGGAAGCTCAAAGGAAGCTGAGCAAATGATAGCACTGGGTCGCAAATTGCCCGGAAACATGGGAAGCCAAAATGAGAAACCAATATCGGGGCACCCAACGGTCTTTTTGCGAAGGCAAAGGAATTTTGAAAGGGAAGCCAGATAGGATACGTTTGTAGCAGGGACCAAATAAGGTAGTGCATTGGATGCCGCTGCGGTTTCAAATATGGAATGACCAAGACAGTCCTAAACATGGGGTGGAGCACTCCAACTTTCTCCCATGCCTCGATGGGGAACACACGGGTCTGTTTCGGCACAGGTAAGCAACTTCTTCTTTGCACGTTACAGGGAATTCCACGGGAAGCCCATGTTTCACAAGGAGCAGCTTGATTCCCGATTGCCAGAAGCACTGCACTCTACATGTCTCTAAAAGGGATAAGGACCAAAAGAGAGACCACAAGCGACAGCAACAGGGAAGCGAGGGAAACCAAGTGGAAATCCATTCGAGAAACCCCCAAAACCCAAAGCCGAGCTACGCTCGCACCGCCGGAAGAAAGAACAAAGAGGGAGCCGAGGCTGTGAATCCGATGGAGAACTGGGAACCTTTGATGGACACCAGAAACAATTACATGATTGCATATATGTCCATCAGCATGTTTGAGGGTAAGTCTTCTAGTAAAACTCAGAGGCACCAGGTAGACTTATCTTCCAGAGCTGCTGCCAAGTTCACTTTTCATGAAGCAAATCACTTGACATCAGACGGGCTTGTCTCCAAGTAGGACCCCAATATGTCCCCTTGCCTCTCGTCTTCCTTTTAGAAAGCTCCCAGAAACAGGGTCCCCCCTCCCCCTTAAGCTGATAGGAAGCCGAATTTCATCAGGAATCCTTTTATTCAAAGACAAATGGCTGTGGCTCAACAACATGTACGCAAATGGCACCTTGATAAATGGAGCCAAAGACTAACACCTGCGTAACCCTAGCTATCTAGTTTTGCGCCACACGCAAATGGGTTCATTCCAGGCCCTTCTGGAACAATTCTAAAACAGGGCACCAACTCTGGCCAGACTCTCTTTGTGGACGATGACCCTGGCAACGCGCTTGCCTCAGCCGATGCAAAGGTGGCCATGGTTCTAAACATGTCAGTTCAAAAGGGGGTCCCAGAATAGATGTTTATCCGATTTTGGGTGGCTTCTACATTGCTGCATTTGAGGCCAATCTTGATAAAGTGTTGTTTTGGTTTGGCATTTACCGGGGACAACACACATCTTGATAGAAACAGCTTGATAGAGGCAAATGCCCCCCCCCATAATTGCAAAATGCGGGGGTGACCCAATTGCTTTGCACTGTCCTTGCATGTTTCTTTGGGTGTTGCTGGGGTGGGGGTGCGAAATTGCGACACAAAATACTTGGAAAGAGGCCACTCCGGTCCAAACAAGGGCTTGACACACTGGGCTGAATTTGCAACGTTCAGGGAGTGGCGCACCGCAACAAACCCGGCGAAAACCCTGAAAATGCTGTTTTGAGGGACCCCCGGGTGGTCGTTGCAGATCGATGCTTTGGCACTTTGATCCGAAAGTTGCAGTCGAAGAAGGCCATAGTTTAGTTGGCTTGTTACAGCTTGTTTTTTTTGGGGGGAGGGGGGTTCGGGGTATTTCGGAGCGTTTGCGTGAGAGCTGGACATTGCAACGTGCTGGGGGTACCCGGGCTTCCCCGCCATTGGGCCAGTCGCTCTTTGTGCATCGCCGGACCATATTCCGAGGAATTTCAATCCACCTGAGCCAGCCTGATTATGAAAACAGTATGGTCCTCCAGATGTTCATCCGAATTCGACCACAAATTTGGCCTCCAAATCGGCTTGCCTTGTTAGACACCTGTTTGGTTTTCCTTCCTTTCATCTTGGAAACCACATGGGTTTGGGTCAAATTCAGCAACTAGGGGACCGCAGGTTGTAGTCCTTGGTTTCATTTACCAGGTCCCATGTTGGGTACACAGCCACATGGCTGTGGGTCAAAAATAGGTACCAAAATGGAACCCAGGTAAATGGAAACATGGACTAAAACCTGCGGTCCCCTGCTGGTTTAATTTTGGCCCATACCCACATTGGTCTCCCTTCAACTGGGCTGCTTTTGCGGTTTGAGGTGGTGCCTGCGGCCGAGATGCGGGTGTGCCGAACCGCTTGGGTGTCGCGAGGTCCTCAGGGTGGGGTGGGCGGGGTGGGGTGGGGTGGGGTGGGGTGAGGATTCGGAACCCCCCAAAAGTTTGATGGATTATATATATATATATGTTCCAGGCTTCCTTGGTCCCCCCCTCACCCCCCCCAATGGTCATGCTCAGTCGAGAAGGTAGCACAGTGTGACCCTACAAGCCCCCCGCCCCCCTGTCGGATGGGTGGGGGGGTCCATGGTTCCCACCCCCCCCCCCGCCCCCCTGTGGGAATGGGGGGTGGGGAGAATGGTAGCACAGTGTGACCGCAAAGCACCCCGCGACCATGGTTCCCACACCGCCCGCTGGGGTAGCAAGCAAAGTGTGTTTGCCACTGGCGCGTTGCAGCGCACTTGGTTGGCACTTGGTTGTGGCGCTGCAAACCACAAACTGCGTCGTGGCATCGCGCACTGTCAATTGCGACAGCGCTGCAACTTGTCGCGTGCTGCAAAATGAGCAAATCGCATTGCAGCGCATCACACGAACAGCGCCGCAAACACTGCCGCCCCCCCCCCCCCCCCCCCCCCTGGGGGGGGGGGGGGGGGCCCAGGGTCCCCCCCTGGATGGACCCATACCATTGGGGGGGGGGGGGGGCTGGGGACGACGGGCGACGGGAACATATATATGGTTTTGCAAAACAGGCACAGCATGTACCAACTCCAAGAAAAAGACACCCAATTGAAGTATATAATTGTCTCCATGGCGAATCGGACGCGGGAACTTACATTCAAATGCCCCCAAACCAGAGGACTCAATTATTTTCCTATCGGGAAAACATTCGTCATTTTGACTGGCTTACATGGCTCGGAGTTGATGAGGTCACTCCCTATGAATCCCTTGTGGCTTTTTCAGGGGATCCCTAGTTCAATTTGGTGCTGACATGTGGACGAGCTCAAAACTTTCCACAATTTTGGGAACCCCCAATTTTCCTCATGCTCTTTGCAGGAACTCCAGTGAAGCGGGGGCACTTGACAGCGCGTAACCCAAAGGGACCCAAGAACAAACATAATTTCCGGGCTGCGATAGGCTAAAGGACCTTGGATCGGGGATGGCGACTGAAAACAAGGCTGCGAAAGGAACGATTGAATTGATCTGACCAGCCAAAAAAACTTGCAGGTCACGATGTGTTTTGTTGAGAGAGAGAGAGAGAGAGAGAGAGAGAGAGAGAGAGAGCTCAGGCCCTCTGTCCGGAAACCTGAGGCGACCCGTGGGAATGGACACCATCCTGTTGAGGCAGGGCATTTTTTTTGGCATCGCCTGGTCAAAGGGTGTCCCGAGAAAGGATCCCGGGACCTTCCATTCTCTTTGGGCTTTTGTCAGGTTCGAGCTTTCGAGGATGTATCTTGGAAGACTCTCGGGTCGCGCAGGCTGATCCGGGAGGCGGCTGAGGATGAGACCGGGTCAAAGACGCGTAGCATGTTTCGGGAGGAGCCCTGGGGGTGGGGGGGTGGGGAAGGGGGGGAGGGAATGTTGGACATTTGGAAACCTCCTTTGTTGGGGTGTAGTATGGGATGTTTGGTCTTTGAGTCTTCAAAATCATCTCCAACCCCTGGCACTTGGGCAGGGGTATCTTGTGGTCAAGTTGAACAACGCTATTTGAATACATGTTCTTTGGGCAAATAAAGCCGCGACCTCACAAGGGTTTACAGCAGTTTGTGACAGAAACGGCCATGAGATTGCTTTCATGGGCGCCCTTATTTTGGGTTGGTAACGTCGTATTTTCCATCTGAGGTTCAGTCAACGCATTTGGAACGTATTGTGGCCAATTCGGGGGTTCTGGGACGGGGCACGAGCCACTCAATTTCCATCGCCAATAACCAGGGGGACTTAATAAATTCCACTAGCATCAAGCTCATGAACCCTGATTTCCCAATGTTCATTGAAGCAATCAACAAGTATGGCTATGAGTTTTAATAGGCACTCCCTCAAAAATGGCTGCTGGATATAATTTCCATCTAACTCTGATGAAAACCTTCCTTCAACCTCCATTCGATATCCGGAAAGTTGCAACCGTTGGTCGTGCATCCGCTTATGCACCCCTGGACATTGGTCCCCTCAAGCTCTACTCAACAACGGTGGTCGATGTCAAGAGTCACCTGAAACTCTGGTTTTGACCGCAGGGGTTGTTTATCCAACGCGAAGTCGCATTGTCATGGATGTACCCACAAAAGACGAATGGTAGCTGCATGTTTGGAGTCCCCATTTTGTAGAAGGATCCTTGAAGCGGATGGGGGCTGTAAGGCTAGAATATGGGCGAGTTCGAGTTATCATCTCAAGGGTGAGTCAAGAAACTCCTTCCCATTGTAGAGGGATCCACAGCTGGGTGAAAGCAGATCTCATTTTGGTTTCGTCATCCGCTTACAGGGAACTGTGCCTACTTTCCCCCCAGTGTACCCAAAATAGCAAACCTTTACAAACCAGCACCAGCTATGTCCAACCAAACAAAGCAAAACTGTATCGCACTCGTGAACCCACAGGGAATTTGTGCTATCTCACCCCAAAGAACGCATAGTCAGAGGGATCTACCCAAAAACGCCATGGCAAATTCATTTCCGCTGGTCAAACCACATGAGTTTTCGGTCCAATTCAAATGTTCAACATGGAAATCTAGGGTCCCTGTCTCAGGACCTCTCCCTGGCAGCGGGAGCTCCTTCTGCCGCCGCCGGCGCCCGTAGTTTGCGTGCTGCGGTAGAGGCGGTGCGCAGAGGTCGGTGAGCAAAAAGGCGAGAGACATCTTCGCGGACATCGGCGCCCCCGTATTTCCCTTAGTGGGTTTACACATCACTTTTTGGCCAATGTAAGGTGAGCCACCCTTGGTAGGAAGCATGTTTTCGGGGTGCATGGAACCCTGTAAACGAGATGGACAGCCCATGATGAAGGTCAAATTTAAGCTGAAATGACGTGATATTGCGTCCAAAACATACTTTTGTCAAGCAGTTCCTTGCTTTGGGGCTGATTCCTGATTTCAGATTTGTCCATGGTACTTAATTTGGTCGGACTTTTGAACATGCAAGGTTTAACTCCCCCTATGCCGCAAGCACTTTGGCCGGCTTGGGGGGGGCTTCGGTTTCCTCAGTTCACTGTTCCATTTTCGGGCAATTTTGGCAACCTCCCGGAAAGGTTCTCCATGCCCTTCAATCAGGGCCGATGAAACAATTCTAAGGAGAATGACTCGGCAAAACGCTGACCCCCAGCCTGTCTTTTCTCTTGGGTCTATAAGCCAAACGAAATGGGCAAACAAGTTTCAGGCTGGAAAAAAACGGGTCAACCTTGGGTGAAAGTAGATGCCCATCTGACTTTGGTTTTCTTGGAAGGTTTCAAGCCACATGGTTGGGCTTCGGGGGTCCCGTACGAAATTATTGGGTAAGGTGTTCCAGATGCCAGGACATGCGCCAGAAGATGTCCAAAATGCAGAGAGCCAAGCGGGCGGAGCTGCGGAGCTTCCCGGATCCCCTGTTCCTAGTTTCTTGGATAGGGACGTTCACCTTTGGAGGTGTTCCTTTGGGCTGGTCTGCAACCAAAACCCGCAGGTCTGGAAAAAATCTGAGTTGAACAAATGGTCTGGGTATCAACACAGACTCTGACGCTTCGGCATCACTTTCCAAGGCCTCCCAATAACTTTCCAGGGCGCTGTTGTTTCTGATCTGAAAGCGGTCCAAGCACGCCGATGAACAGGTAGTTCGACCCCTTTGGCAAAGGCGCAAAAGCAAAATCACGGGCATGTCGGGTATTTCGGGGTCAAGCACCCGTAAGAGCCATGAAGACATAAAAGTCAACATGTGGGACAAAGTTTGGCTGTGCTGTACCTGGGCAGAAACTGGTCCAAGCATTTTCAAGGGGGTTTCCGAGAATAAGACATCCATAGCCATGGGTATGATCCTTGGCGCCCCCGGGCTGTTTGCTTAGGATTTGGGTGCTTAAACGGGAGGAGACAGTCTCAACTCTCAACCAGAAATGGGTGCGGCCGGTTAGTTCTTTACATTGGTTAGACATGTTAGACCCTTAAGTAGCAAGTGTTGAGTGTGAGCCACGAGTGCGCTTGCATTGTACATCACTTATGGGATGTATTCTTTGAAGGGCCAGAACAGTCAGGTTTAGCCTCATCCTTAGTGTGGCGGTGAACTGAATTGTAATGGTTGACAAGTGGGTGGTGGACAACTATGCCCGACTAAGATGCATACCCATATGATTTGCCCTTTGGCGCTTCACCCGATTCGTGACTTTGCGTCTCGGCTTTGAAGCACTTTCTGATGGTACCGGGCATTACTGGCGCTCATAGCAGCTTCCGCGGAACCTTTCAGGGCTGGAACCCACCTGGGGTTAGAGGGATACTGTGGATGGACGAAACATGGGAAACCATGGTTGGCATTTACAGGGGAATCAACAGAAACCAGGGTTTCTGAACGGTGGTGCGAAATGGATTTCGCAACCATCCACAGTACTTCCCTCTTCCATATGCTTAAGTTTACTAAGCCCCCTGGAACAAATACACATGTATGTCCAGTGATAGATTCCCTACCTGTAGAGGGATAGGTTGAAACCCCATCGGCTTCGGAGTTTCCTGTGCGTCGCGCTTGCGCTCAGGGCAGGGAAGCCGGGCGCCAAATCGTCATTTGCCTGGAACAAGCGCTGAGATTCGTCGTGTGGAGAATGGGTTGGGCAAGGTGGAACAAAAGCAAGCACCGGCTGGTCTGCTATGGTCGGGCCACGAGGAGGTGGTTCGAACATGTATCAAGTGTTGGCCCAACCCTGCCAGAGATTCTTCTCACATTTCACATACCACTTTAATGGTCCGAGTAGAAGGTTATGGGACAGCCTACTTTCATTATTTTTGAGAGACACCCGTTTTGTTGATAGCATCTCTCCAGCAGCGTGGGTGGATGTGAGACCCATCTCACCCGATCCTGCACGCTCTGCCCAGACAGAAAATTGAGTGCGTGTGCGGAGCTGTGGAGCAACAACTTGACTATTGCGTTTGCACGCTCCTCTGAAACTGCATGACATGCAAACATGTGGGTGTGGCTGGTTTTGGAATTGGTACCTCTTTGAGTGGGGTTCTCAAGCGAAACAAGATGGGGAAGCACCCTTTGTAGGGTTTCTCCTTTTTGCGACCTTGAGAGGGAGATGCTGGATACGAGGCCATTCACCTGGTGAGGTCAACTGTTGTCCGCGAGATGCGTCCACATAGTGAAAGTTTCATGGGTTTACCATGGGCATGTGATATTTAACCAGAAAATGCTCGATTTAGTTTCACGAGGAGAAGTCAACTACGGGGATCCTCGGATTCAAAATGGCGTAGGAAGCCTCTTGGAGGTATGGTTCTCTTGTCTCGAAACAAGTGGGGTTGTCCTAAACATGGGAACATGTTCAAAACTGATAATTTCCCTTCCTCAAAAGCACCCCCCCAGCGTACCCTAGCAGACTCGTTCGAAAAGCATCACCGGGCCAAGGACACATCCGAGTGCAGTTTGTCCACTTTTATGTCTGCCTGTCTGCTCTGTTCTGTTCTGTTCTGCTTTGCTCTGCTCTGCTTGCTTTTTCCTTTTTCCCTTGCTTGCTTTGCTTGGCTCCGCTCCGCTCCGCTCCGCTCCGCTCCGCTCGCTCGCTCGCTTGCTTGCTTGCTTGCTTGCTTTCGGAGCCAATGTTGGAATTTACCAATGGGGCAGATCCGACTGGTTTGCCACCTGGTTCGCTTCGACTTCGAGTCGCCTTCGCAGGTGCCTAAGGAGGTGCCAGTTGAGCCGGCGCCGTCTACCTTCAAAGCCAAGGTGCCTGATTTAGTCCCATACGCTGGTATAGGTGTGTGTGTGTGTTGTGTGTGCTTTTTGAGGCTACCCTTTTCAGCGGAAAACCATAATTTGCAAGGTCCCCTATTTTGACACCAATCATTAGTTACAATGCCATCACAATTGGTTGGTGAACATAGCTATCCACGTTTCATGTCCAGAGGACCCATATTTGACATTCTCCTGTCCCCTTCTGCAGATGGGATCGTGGGAGCGCAGAAGTCTCAGGCTGATGTGTCGAGCCAGAAAATCCCGGAAGATATTGATGCCATCATCTCCGACGTGGCCTGGGCCCTCAGGCCTCAGAACTCCATGGCAGGCGGAGGAAAAAAAGCCGGGCTCATGCACACGCTTCCCCCCGGGCTGGTGAGTAGGAAACAGGCCCAACGTAGATATCCGGCCCGATTCACATGGGATCTAGGCAGGCTCCTCCAGCTGGTTGTCACTCAGGTGAATCAAGCCATTGTAAAGAAGGCCATTCAAAGTGCAGCCTCGGCCTCAGATTGGGCTCATTGGCTGCGCATTGCTTCAACTTGGGTGGTTCCCAGCCATCGGGTTCCTTGGCTTTTTTGCTTCTCAGCTGGTTCAGCGGTTGGGCTTCCATGTACCCCACAAGTTCGCCACTTTTCGCAGATCTGAAAACGGACCGCCCATCTTTCTGGAGACGAGAGCCTTGGGCGCTTGTAAGCGACAGCTGAGCTTTTCCCAGGTGTCGTCCTGCAAGTTCTGCGTGACCATCGCGGATCCACGGGGCGTCTTGGCGAGAAAAGAGCTGCCCCTTACGGCTCGAAGCACCGGTGTTGGTCCACTTTAAAGTCAGTTCCTCCGGGCTTTGGAAAGGGTTGCCCGCTTCCGTCTTTAGAGGGAAGGCAATGGCTCCTGCTTAAAGTTGGCGAATTGCCATCCCAAGGATTGAGCATGCGATGATCCAATGCGATTTCTGCATGTGCGCAAACAAATTGCAAACAACGCGTGCTGCGAGCTGAGTGTCTTTCTTTCGCTGTCGGACTCAGGAATGGATTTCCCGCTCATTGCCGTCTCTGAAGCATTTGAAAAGATGACGGGCTTCAAGAGGAGCGCTGACTGCAGTCGGAGAGTGGATGGCACAGGCTCAATCCACCCGAGTTGGGTTCTCAAAATAGGGGCCCAAGGGGTGGCCGCAACTGAGAGGCATTCAAGAGTTCAGGCATGAACACTCGGCACCCGCACGATTCGGTGCTTTGTTTGGATGGGTTTCGGGATTTGAAGCCCTGAAACCACCCCCTCACGAATCCACCAATGCAAACCAAGTTGAAGCAAGAGCCGCGGAAGGCTTGTGGGACTGGCGACTAGGATCGCTCGATGCTCTTCCCCGTTTTGTGATTTGGGTGTGGCTCAAAATTAAACAGCTGGGTTTTAGTCGTTGTTTCCATTTACCAAGCAGCCAGTTGGGGGATTTCATTTTTTGAGCCACAGCCATTTCTTCCGCAAACTTGGCACATCGGCCTCACAAAAGTCACGGTAGGGATGTTCAGATAGGACTCAATGATTATTGTCAGGAGTTTTGACCATGGCACTGCAACTTTTAGCTGTTTGCTCATTCCTTCCCAGCTGGTGCTCCGCCATGTCTTTGGGATTTGTTGTTTCTCTACTTCAGACTTTGCTCCTTGCCGGAGCAACGACTGTTCTATCCAATGCACTGAGTCCATGCGGGTTGGGTGTTGCCTTTCCTCACCGAAGGCTCAGGGACTTCCGTTGCCTGGAACGCGTCTTTTTGGTTTTTGTTTCCGTGTCTTCTTTGCCAGGGCTTTTGGGTCTTCCGTTGCCAGGATTAATTACTCCCTTTCGAATCCTTTTCCAGTCCCATGTTCTGTTTCGATATTTTCTGCCGGGTGAGGAGCGAGATCCTCGGGGCCAATTGCCGCTTCCTGAATCAGGGTTGCTGGAGCC